GGTGCAGAAGCAAGATGCGGAAGAGAAGAAGGCAGCCAGCGCTCTCAAGTGGCGCGAGTATCAGAAATCTGAACCGCGTGTTCGACGGGTTATTAGGGTGATGAAGGTCTGCTACTTTCTTGCACAGCATGACGCCCCTATCTCCATGTACCCTGTGTTTGCGCGGTGGCTAGCGGATGAGGGCATGGAAGACATGCCTAAGGAGGAGATGTATGCACGCTACTTTTCAATGTAAGCAACTGCTGGATGCTCTTAAGCTCTTGGTATGCTTATTGATATGCAGATTTCATCTTTGGCTGTTTTGATTGCAAACTGTGTATTTGGTGGTTATGCAGGTGGGCTGCTGGAGAGTTTTTGCATGCAATTTCAACACATCTCCATGACGTGCAGCATGCACACATCCAGGCCAGCCCATGGTATGGGCTCTCTCTTGATGAATCGACCGATCGTGCCCACGGAAAGCATTTGATTGTTTATTGCACCTTCGAGCGAGATCTGAGGGTAGCGACGGAGTTCCTTGCGCATCTTTCGCTGGAAAAGTGTGATGCAGCTTCAATCTTTGCAGTTCTATCATCCTACCTGGATGGAAAGGGCTTTGACATGCAGACGCTTGTCGGAATCAGCACGGACGGTGCGAGCGTGATGGTTGGAGACAAGCAAGGACTTGTAAGGCGGTTTCGAGAGAGATGCACGTGGCTGTTCTCCGCCCACTGCATTGCTCACAGGTTCGACCAAGTGATACATTGTTGTCATACACCTTGTTTAGCACATGGCCCTGGCTTGCGGATAATCATTGCACAATCTGTTTTCTACTCTCTGAGTTGTGTACTACCGTATTACAGGGAAGCACTTGCTGCCAAAGATGCAGCCACCGCATTTCCAGATCTGGGAGTTGTTGACAAAGTCATTCGCAAAACAACAGAGGATCTGGGTCGTTCGAATATTCGACGTCAACGGTTTATGGATCTGCAATCGGTCATCCGATCCACTGACTTGGAGGTGCTCGGGATTGTAACCATACGGTGGCTCGCCAGAGGGGAAGCAGTGGCTCGGTTTTGTGATGTGCTGCCGATTCTACTATGGATGTGGAAGCAGGGCAACGCAAAGCTTTTCAAGACAGTCAGCTCTTTCAAGCTCCTTTTCATGCTCTATTTGCTGTGAGATGTGCTGGAGGTGCTCAACAATCTGAATCTGAAGTTTCAACAGCGCGAGGTACGTATATCGAGAAGCAATGCATATCAAGGCGGCTAGTGAGTGTGAGCTTCAAGGTGCGTGGCAGGTTAGTGGTGCGGCTGCAAGGGGTGTGGCCAGTGAGTGCAAGGCTGAGTGGAGCACAACACCAATCTACGTTAACGGATAAGCACACTAGGTGCATCAGACTTAGTCACGTTTATCTAAGCTACGTGCCTTCAAAATTCATAACCCCCATACAACAGATTGATGTCACTCGAGTCGCTCAGGATGTCGACGAAGCATGCACACTGCTGAAACAGCGCTACATCGAACATGCGAAGGGTTTTGGTGATGGGCATAAGGGACGACTGACATCCTTTTTGCGAGAGCACAGCGACCCCGAAAAGCGCAGCATGGTGGTTCATGGGGTTGACAACGAAGGTGACCGTCGCACCACCGAGATTATGTTGCATGGTGAAGGAATTGGTGGTGTGTACGGGACAGACATCGAGTCTTGCTACGCCTTGGGTAAGGCGTTTGCTGAGAAATTGGTGAGCTCGCTGACAACAAGACTCGGAGACCTCGAGAATCTAGAGGGCGCCAAGCTGTTCAGGCCCTTGATGTATCCCGATCGGAGCACAGGTCTTCGTGATGCAACATTCAACGCTAATTTGGACAAGCTTTTCGACCTCTTTGATAACAAGCTGCCAGGTACGACAATCTGCCCCGTTTATTAATGAGTATTTTTTTAACCCTAAAATCATCCCAATCAAACTTCAAAGTCCTCCTTTCTTTTTTTTTTTTTCTAAACCACCAACAAACAGGAATCAGCAAAGTTGTGTGTGGTGGTGAGATCTCCATGCTAACAGCAACCTTGTATAAGCATCATCGCAACGAGGGGTTCAACCAATGCCTGCACAACGTTCTCAGCAATAACGCATGGACCACCAATTATCCCCAGCTTGTGCATATGTGGAGGGCTGTTTCAGTGCTTCCCTTAAGCACGGTAGAGTGCGAATGTGGGTTTTCATGCCAAAATGTCATCAAAAGCTGGGACAGGACTTGCCTAAACGACGTGAGGCTCGCCGAGTTAATGGCTGTGAAAATGATAAATTCTGATGTGGACTGGAGTGTTGTTCACAAGGTGTGGGATGATGCGAAGTCCAGGCGTCCCTGCAGGTTGGTGGCGGACGATAGGTAAGTGGTAGAGGTTTTATTATCTTCAGGATGATACTTATGCAACTAGATGTCATGCATTGTTTTAAGGACATTTTGAAGTACTTGTACTTGTGCTAGGTTGCGCTCATGCTTCTTTATGTCAGGACTGAAAAAGAGAAAAATATGATGTGACTCTGATTGAGCCGAGTTTTTTTAGATAGCCCTGAATATTAAGGGAAGATGTTGGGTAAACCCTGGGTTTTAAGAGCAACTTTGAAGGGGGTGGCATTTCGTCCGACCTGTAAAAAATCCTAACATAAGCCCTGGGTGGGTTCGATTCCAGGACATCTATTGGAAGTGCCTCTTTCTACTGACTAGGCCACTTCTGGTTACTGCGTCAGGTTAGGATAAATATTCACCGTCATGTTTATGAGAAAGGGTTTCTTGCTGAGCGGCTCTTGAATAGAGAGCTTACGTGGGTTACTGTTCATAACGTCAACTCTCCGCGCGCGCCTCCACATTGGATCAGGGTTCAGGAGATTTGAAGATTGGGCACCAAACCAGAGGTCTCCATACTGTAATTGGGTGGCGGGCCAACGAGGAAATGACAGAGCGCCGTGTTTTCAAATTTCTAATTCCAATGGGCAGTGGTTTTGACAGCGCATTGCTCTGCACTCGCGTTCAATACCTTGGGGCATATTCTTTCTCAGTTTCCCCTTTTTAGTCCACAAATACAAGCTGTTTTTAGTACGGGGTATTAAAAATGTATTCGTCGAGTCCATGGCAAACGCTCAGCTCGGGACAAAAAAAAAACCCTCATGGATGGTATGCCACGAAGAGAGCATCAACCCTAAACACCATGAGGCAAGGTGTTTAGGGTTGATGCCTCCCAAATGGCTTGTCATCCGAGTAGGTTTTAGTTTTTCCACTGGCCTCTACACTGAACCCAGGTAAACTTAATATTTGCCCTTCTATACGTTTGGTCATGAAAAACGGGAAACAGCAATATAAACTGACTGCGGGAATTGGGCGCGAGCGCGGTGGGAGTCGCTGTCAAAGCCACTGCCGAAAGGAATCGAAAACGCGCAAACACGGCGGTCCGTCATTTCCTCGGGGCCAACTGACGAAGTAGGCGAGCAACTGATAGTTTGCCGTCGTCGTGCGACTTCGTGCGTCCAAGGTGCGTTGGCTCATGCGAGACTGTTACCACTTCGCGCGAGTAAGCACACAGATGGACAGTTGTCGCACGATTGCTTGATTAGGCAAGCGTCGCACCAACTGTCGCGGCCTGATCTTACGTGGATGCATAGATCGTGGCTGGTCGTGCTGGAACACTGTACACATGAGACAATTTTCAGCGAACCACCATTGATTTTTCCTCCCGGCTTGGCAATTTTGGATGCCCTAATCAAGAGATAAGGAAGGACCCAGAAAAAAGTTCCTACCAGTCCAGCGTGGACGTCTCCAACCTGTCATTCGACAACCCCTCTCCCTCTCCTAGCGTCGCGTGGGGCAAGTGACCAACACAGCAATCATGAGGGGAGAGGGACAAGCACGGGGGACGGGCTGGGATGGGGGAAACTCCGTAATGCAACATTGGTTTGGCGCAAACTCGCTTTACAGGTGGCGGAGCTGCTCCATGCGTCGGCGGGGCAGTAGAGCAATTTCCACCTGCCCAGCCCCCACGTACCCTAGTTCCCAGCAGCAACAGCTAGGTTTTGGCTTCTCCGAGCTGCCCGTTAGTACGTTGAAGAGGAGCAGTAGAATTTACTGGTTACTGTATTTTGACGGTTGTTGCGCGAGTAGTAAATGCTTTGACGTGCTGAACATATTTTTACTGCCCGAGATGTATCTCGTTTGTGTTCGTCTTGCAGAACTTTCCAGACCCAAGGTGGATAGGGGGAGGAAGGGGGCTGAAGCAGCAGCAGTTGAGGCAGGATTTCAAACGTAGAGGCAGCGGCAAGAGGGACGAGAAAGCGTATTCGAGCTTGAGGATTCACGTCCATGTTGAGCCGTGCAGGAGTCGTTGATGCTACGATGCTAGGGTTTGTTAGCGGAGAATCTCATAACTTATTCATTTTTTCGTGGTGAATTTTGTATCGGGAAATTGTATTACACGTTGCGGTGGTGATATTCGCAGACTAAGTTAAGGACAGGCTGTTTAACGTGCACTGTTGGGAGGGTAATGGCGCCGGTCGTGTTTGGGTCATAGTTGTGCAGTGAAACTTACCTAACCACTTATCGCTAACACTATGGGTTTATACAGAGGCAGCGACGTTCAACGAGATATACAGACGGAATGCGGGGTTGACGGAACGGTTATAGTCTCTCCAAGCGTAAAGGGATCTGCCCCGCCGTTTACAAACGGGAAAGACAATATTCCGTTATCAGAGATCGTCACGAGACGGGAAGCTGCCGTAAGCGGCGGAGACGACGCGACGGATCTCGTTACCGTTTTAACAGACGGCGAAGGTGACGAGAGCGGAAGTGGCAGTTTCGAAGCCGTAAGCAGTAGCGAAAGATTTGGAATTAGTCTGGAGTCGAGCAAGGAAGAAAGCGGGGCCAGCAGCAGCAGCAGCAGTAGCAGTAGCAGCGGAAGCAGCAGCAGCAGCGGGAGTAGCGGTAGCAGCCATCACGGGTTGCAGAACGGTCATCCGGAGGCCGACGCGATGGGTTTCGCGGATGGTGATGGCGCGGGGGACGGGAGAGAGGCGCAACGCGACGGGGAAGTGATGTCCAGAGAACGACACGACATTGCGGTAATCAACGAGATGCAGCCCAGGGGAGTGGGTCGAGAAGGCGTGGAGGAGGGCGATGAGGAAGGAGAAGGGAGAATGGACGGGCATGTTTCAGAGAAAATGGAGGCAGATGAGGAAAGGGAAGAGGAGGGCGAAGCGGGGGAAGGGGTAAACGAGGAGGAGAAGGAAGCGAGGCGAGAGATGGAGGAGAATGGGAGTGCTGGTTTGTTGCGACCGAAGTTGCGCGGATACGAGGAGAATGGCGAGGAGGTGGGTGAGGAATGTGGAAGGGAGGGAAGCGAAGAAGGGGAGGAAGAGAGTGACGGCGGAATTGACGGCGGTAGTGATGGAGAGAGGGATGAAATAAGGTCCGAAAGAGGAAGCAATGATGGTGGTGACCAACGCTCGCGCGACAGGGAGAACGACATCAGTGCGAAAGGCGACGACGAAGGCGATGTGGAAGAGGAGATGGAAGAGGGCCGCGCGGACGCGGAGAGCGCGGACGACGAGGACGGCGACGACGGCGACTTGACAGCCGGAGCAGACGACCGCGACGGCGACGGGGACAATAGCGACGAGGATGGCGACAGCGTCGAAGGCATCGCTCGTCGGAGTCTGGCTTTGGAGCAACAGCGACGGAACGGGTTCGATACCATGCGTGGCGAACGCGGTGACCGGTGCAATGGCGGCGGCGGCGGCGGTGGCGGCGTTGAATTAGACGGTGAGGCTGCCGCGGCCAACGGGCTCGATAACGACGGCGACGGCGAGGATGATGGCGACGACGGTGGCGACGGTGACGACAGCGAGAATGACGACGACGACGACGACGCGCGCGCGCTTCGCGAGACAGACGGAGCGTCAAGCGCGGGAGACAGCGCGGCGGACGAGGCGAGCGCGTTGGAGGAGCTGCAGGAGATGCTGCGGAGACGGATGGCCGTGGCGCCCGCGAGCGCAAGTGCCGGCGGCCGCGGCGGAGGCGGAGGCGGACACGATTCCGCCACCAGCCCCGCGAGCTCGCTCTCCGCGCAACCTCGCCAGCACCAGCCGCTGTCGCCGCTTTCCGCTGCGCTCGAGGCAGCCTCCACCGCCGCCGCGGCCGGCGCCACCCCCGCTCCTGCCGCCGGCAGTGGCGCGAAGGGTGGTTCGGCTCCTGCGCCGATGCTGCTGGGCCATGCGCAGGGCTCGGCTCGAAATCAATGGGCGGCGAAGCTAGCGACGAGGTTCGGCGAGCCGGAGCTGTTTGACCTGATGTCGCCTCCCGTGTCTGAGGGTGGTTCGGTGGGAGAGTTGGAGGATCGGAGCTGGGGAAGTGAGAGTGGGAGTGATGGGGAGAGAGGGGGGGAGAGTGACGGGGAAGGGGAGAGTATTCGGGGCAGTGTGGATGATAGTGTGGGGGATAGAGAGAGTGTGGGCGATGGTGAGAGTGTTACGGAGAGGGATAGTGTGTCAGATGAGGGGGAGAGGAGGAGTGAGGGAGGGGGCGATGAGGGTGGTGAGAGGTGGGGGGAGAGAGGGTATGGTGAGGAGGAGGACGAGAGGAGGATGGCCGTGGGTGGGAGTGAGAGAGCAGGAGGAGGTGAGTCGGGATTGCACGGATTGGAGTCTAGCAGTTGTGTATCCAAAGTCATGGCAGAGCAAAGGCAGCAGGAGGAACAGCAGCAGCAGCAACAGCGGCAACGGCAGCAGAAGGAGGAGGAGGAAGAGGAGGAAGAGGACGTGGAAAGGCCCGAGTCGTGGCGCGGATGGTGCTCCGCCGGTCACAGGCGTGTGGGGACGCTGGAGAGGATATGGGAAGAAGAGGAGAAGGAGGTGGAGGAGGAAGAGGAGGAGGAGGAGGAGGAGGAGGAGGAGGAGGAGGAGGAGGAGGAGGAGGAGGAGGAGGAGGAGGAGGAGGAGGAGGAGGAGGAAGAGGAGGAGGATGCAACAAGGAGTTCGGAGGGCGGTGCTGCTGCGGTGGTGGTGGCGGTGGGGGCTTCTGTGCTGTGCGGTCGTGCGGTGACGGAGGTTGAGGAGACGGGCGGAGAGGGAGAGGAAGAGATGGGAAGTGGTGGAAAGGTTGAGGAGTTGGAGGATGGCGAGAGGGGTAAGGAGAGCGAGCGTGCGGAGGGGAGTGAGGAGGGTAGTGAGGAGGGGAGTGAGGTGGGGAGTGAGGTGGGGAGTGAGGTGGGGAGTGAGGAGGGGAGTGAGGAGGAGAGTGAGGAGGAGAGTGAGAAACTGACGGTTGAGATACAGGCGATGCTGAAGAAACTAAAGAGGGATTTCAAGAAGGAGAGCGAGTGGGGAGCGGGAGGGGAGGAGCAGGCAGAGGCTTCAGTGAGTCCTGCAGTGCACGTGGTGGTTAGCAGTCGGGAGGAGAGTGAAGGGGGGAGCGACGGAGAGAGTGAGGGTGGGAGTGAGAAGGTGAGTGAGACGAGGGTGCTTGGGACATCAACAGCAGAGTCAACAGAGTCAACGGAGGAGCTCGAGCCAGCAGGGTCAGTAGAGGCGAGGGAGTCAACGCGGTCAAGAGAGTCGTCTCGTGGTAGGCCCGTTGCTGCTCTAGAGGATTCGCGTGGGTCAAGTCTTGTGCCGGATTCTGCGGCAGTTGAGGGGGAAGGGAAGGAAGACACGGGGTGGGCGAGAGGAGAGATAGGAAGGGAGGGAGAGGAGGCGGATAAGGAGGTGAGGAGAGAGGGCAAGTTCGAGGGTGAGGGCGAGAGGGCGAGTGAGAATGCGAGCGAGAGTGGGAGTGAGAGTGGGGAGAGCGAGGGCGGGAGCGTCGGTGGCAGTGAAAGGGGGGAGTTGGAGAAGGAGGGTTCGGTGGTTGAGGTGATATCATTTGGAGGGGGTGACAGTGGTGATGATGCAGAGGAGGGGAGTGAGGAGAGTGAGGCGAGTGAGAAGGCGAGTGAGTGTGGAGGCGAGAGTGAGGGCGGGGAGAGAGGCTTGGAATGCGAGAGGGAGGCATCAAGAGGTGAGGAAGAGGAGGCGGCAAACGGAGAGGAGGAGAACGAGGGAGTTGGAAAAGAGGAAGAGGGTGGTGAGGAGGAGGAGGGGAACGAGGACGAGGCAGCGTTGCAGACGAGTGTGTGTGGGGGTGGGGAGGGCGGGGAGGGTGGGGAGGGTGGGGAGCAAGAGGTCGAGGCAGCAGCAGCAGAGAACCGCACGTCTGAAGCCTCTGAGGAAGCCAGTCAAAGCCAAGATGTAAGCGCTGCCGATTCTGCTGCTGCCGAATCTGCTGCTGCTGCTGATGATGATGAAGCGGGTGATGGAGGTGCAGGGGCAGCAGCAGGGGTAGAGGCCGGTGCTGAGAGTGCGGGTGCGGGTGCGGGGGCGGTGGGCGGGTGGGGAGGCAGAGTGGCGAGGGTGCTCTCGTCCTACGGGCCCGACCTAGACCTATTTGAGCTGCGCTCGCCTCCCGTCTCCGACTCCGAGCTCGAACGCTACGAGTCTGGCTCGGAAGCAGGCTCGGACTTTGGCTCGGGGTCCGGTTCGGGATCGCTTTCGCGAACGGTGTCTGGTTCGGGGAGCTACAGCGATGGTGAGAGAAGCGAGGGGGGGTTCAGTGGGGGTTGTGGATCGGAGGATGGGGAGAGGGTGGCAGAGCAAGAGGCAGAGGGAGAGAGGGAGGTGGTGAGTGTGGAAGATAAGAGTGAGGCTGCGGCAGCAAGAGCAGCAGCAGGACAGGATTCAGCAGCGGCGCGGGAGGTGGAGGGAGGGGAGGCAAGGAAGGAAGCAGAGAGGGGGGTAGAGCCTGCTGTGAGGCTGGAGACGGAGGAGGGGAGAGTGGAGGGCAAGGGTGCGAGCAAGGGTGAGAGTGCTGCTATGGACGAGAGTGGCGCCACTGCCAGCGGAGAAACGAGTAGCAGTGGCGCCATTGCTGCTACCCATGGCTTTGGTGCTGGTGGTGATGGTGGTGGTGCTGCTGCTGGTGATGCTGGTGGCAGTGGTGCGTTTGGAAGTGGCTCGTGGGGGAACGCGTTGCCTCCAGGGGGGTGGCCTGTGGCAGTGGCGCCGGCTCCAATGCCTCGATCTAGCGGTCTCTCTCCGACTGAGCTTGACCTACTTCTGCACTCTAATCCCGAGAGGGACGATGGTTCCGGCTCGGATGCTGAGCCCACTCCCAAGCTGCTCCAGCGAGGTGGACACGTGGCAGCTGCTGATGTGGCGTCTGCTGATGTGGAGGTGGAAGTGAGTACCGGAGAGTTGACGCCTGAAATGGTGTCGGATTTCGAGTCGACTCCGAGGATGGCGGTACAAAGAGGGGGGGAGTTGACACCTGAGTACGTTTCGGACTCCGAGTTGACACTGAGGAACGGCGAGTTGACACCGGAGATGACATCCGACATTGAGTTGACACCGCGAGGAGGGGAATCGGGCGGGGACTTGACACCCGAGATGGTTTCCGAGTCGGAGTTGACACCGAGAATGATGGGAGATGTAACGCCGGAGATGACATCAGATGCAGAAACACCACCTAGGGGGCGAGAGGAGCGAGGAAAGAGGAGCGATGACGATGAGGAGGAGAAGGATAGGAGGGATTGGGCAGGCAGGAATGGAGGAGGGGGGAGGCGCGGAGGAGAGCGAGAGCGAGGGGGAGAGCGAGAGCGAGAGCGAGGGGAGTCGGATGGAGACGAGGAGGACGAGGAGCGGAGCGTAAGGAGCGAGAGGAGTGAGCGCAGTGAGAGGAGCTGGGAGCGGGAGAGGGAGAGGGACTCTGGCGATGAGTGGGACGAGAGGCGCAGCTGGGATGACCGGCGCAGCTGGGAAGACAGGAGAAGCTGGGAGGAGGACGAGTATATCCGGAGATTGACAGAGGCTGATGCGGAGGAGGATAGGAGTAGCTGGGGGAGTAGGAGTGGTTCGGACGAGGAGGACGGTGGGAAGAGGGGCAGGGTGAGGGTGAGGCGAGGGGAGGAGAGTGACGAGGGGAGTGGGTTGGAAGGGGGGAGTGAGGGTGAGAGAGGCTCGGACCAGGAGGTGGGGAAGGGAGGAAGAGGGAGTGGAGGGGGGGGGGGTGGAGGTGGGTCGATGGTTTTGCTGGGAGGGCTGGAAGCAGGTTTGGTTTGGGGGGAGGGCAAAGGGTCAGGCTCGGCAGGGTCCATGTCTGGAGAATCCGCAGCCGAGGAGTGTGAGGATGGGGAGGAGGAAGGAGGCAGGACAGGGAAAGCGCATCGGAGAGGGGAAAGGACAGCACGAGAAGCAGAGGAGGAGGAGGATGGAGTCTTGGGAGGGGAAAGGAGACAGGAAGAAGGAAATGGCGATGGGGAAGGGGATGGGCTCAGTGCGTTGGAGGACTGGGTGGGGATGGGTGTGCATGGGTTGGAGCGTCGGGGCATGCGGCTATCCAATGATGGCTCCTGCGTGGCTACCCTGCGCTCCTCCTCCTCCCCCTCCTCCTCCCCACGCGCCTCCCCGCCGCTGTCCCCGTCCGATTCCCCGCCCCGCTCCCCGCCGTGCTCGCCCCCCTCGCCGTCACGGGCAGCGCTAGCTGCTGCTGCTGCTGCTGCAGCGGCGGCACAGGGATCGTGTGGATCAGCAGCAGCTGCTCCTGTCATCAGGCTGGTGAGCTAACTTTGGAGAGTTTTCAAAAGTCGTAAGGCTCGTGAGGCATGCATGTCTATGGTTGTCACTTGTCCAAGTGAGACTCAAGTGTTATATAGCTTCTCACGAGTTTGTGCCCCGCACTCCCTGCTGCTTTTCTTCTGTCCTCTTCCCCCAATTCTCCGCACCTTCCCCTAATCACCGCTCCTTCCCCATCTCTCTCATGATCAATGCCATGTGTGCTTATGTATTCGCATGCATGTGTGTGTGTGTGTGTGTGTGTGTGTGTGTGTGTGTGTGTGTGTGTGTGTGTGTGTGTGTGTGTGTGTGTGTGTGTGTGTGTGTGCATATCTGCTTGCATGCGTGGATGCTTGTGTTTATGCGTGTGTGCATGCTTGCTTGTGTGTGCGTGCTTGCATGCGACTGTGCATGTGTGCGTGCGGTACGTGCGTGCGTGATGCATCAACGCAACGCACTCGGGGTGTGCTAATCGCATGGCATGGCATGGCATCCCATCAGATGCACGAGAGGGACTTCCGCAAGCGCGTTCACCCGCCCCACCGATCCTCCCCTCCACGCAGCCCTATCCATCCCCGCCCCCGCCGCCGCTCCCCCGCCTCCTCTCCCACTCCTCTCAGCTCCACTTCCTCCTCTTCTTCGTCTCACTCCACTCCCATCGACACCAGCAGCAGCGGGTCTATAGGCGTTACAGACAGTCTGCGCTTGTCTGTCAGCACATCATCCTCGAACACCTCTGGGTCTCCTTCGGACCGCCCTGCATCCACCTCCACCACCTCCTCCTCCTCCTCCTTCACCCCATCACCACTTGTGCTCTCCTCGCTCTCCTCTCCCTCCTCCTCGGCTTCCCCACCTGCTGCTCCTTCCTCCTCTCTGAATCGCAACGTATCGCTCGACTCCATCATCCTTCTCTCCATCCACTCCTTCCTTTTCGGGGTTAGTTTTCCGCTCCCGGCCTGCCTCCGCCGCTGCCTCTGCTTCCCTCACTCTTCCACACACTTGTTTGCACCTTCGCTCACTCCTTCGCTCTGTGCCTCCTGCTGCTTGCTTTTCAACCCCCCTCGCCCTCCCTCCCAGCCCCCCGCCCCCCCTCCTTTCTGCATGATCCGCTTTTCCTTTCTGTCTCCGCTCCCCTTTCTCCCCCCATCAGCCCTGCCTTGTCTCTTCCCCTCTTTTCTCAACAATGGCTACAATTTGTTTAGATACAGTTTTATAACTTGACCTGCCTTTGTGTTTCCCTCCCTTTACACACACAACTTCACGTCCTAATCTTTGTTTTACTTCCCATCCCCTCCCACCCTCCCCTCCCTTTTCCCCTCCCCTTCACCACCTGTTTCCCCTTCCCTCAACCTCTCACCCCAACACATCCGTCCCCCTTGTTGCTCTGCCCTCATCCCTACATTCTTTCCTCACACCAGTCCTCCATGCAGAGACCTGGTTCGCCCCATTCCCCTCGCCTCCTGCCGCTTCTACCCCTCTCCCCAACCTCCTCCGCTGCTTCGGAGTTCACCGCCCCTTTCAAACCTCTCTCCCCTGCCCAGCCTCTTGACAAGGCTCGGGTGAAGCAAGGAGAGGAAGTTGAGGGTCATGGGAAGCTGGAGAGAAGGGAGAGTGGAGGCGACGAGGGGGAAGGGAGTGGTGGAAGAGCGGTGGACGTCTCTAGAGCTCTGGAAGAGGCAACAGGCAGCAGCGATAGCAACAGTAGTAGTGGTGGCAGAAGTGGTGGCAGCAGTGGTAGCAGCGGTGAGAGTGGCGGCATGCGAAGCTCGGGAGCAGAGGAGGGTGAACAGGTTGACTTGGCTCGGGGCACTCTGAATCGACTCCAACCTTCCCTGCCTCTCCTTGCCTCGCTCGGCAAAGACACCTCATACTCCTCCCTCGCCTCCTCCCTCTCTCCGAAATCCCCGCACTCGCCGCAGCTTTCTCCTCACTCGCTTCACTCCCCGCACTCCCCGCACTCTCCCCACTCGCCGCACTCCCCACGCTCCACGCACGCTCGCCAGTCGCTGCTCTCTCGCCGTACAGATGCCTCCCCTGCGGCACTCTCTCTCTCACCTCTAAGTGCTGCTGCTGCCTCTGCCGCTGGTGCCGCCGCTGGTGCCGCCGCTGGTGCCGCCGCTGGTGCCGGTGCTCTGCCTTCTCTCTCCCCCATCGCACCCTCATCCCCCACCAGACCAATGTCACCAGCCCACTCCTCTCCCCGCCCTCCCACCCCTCCCTCCTCCGCCTCCGCCTCTTCCTCCTCCCTTGCTCGCGGCTCTACCTCCTCTAACCTCCTCATCCTCACCCCCTCCTCCTCCTCTTCCTCCTGCTTGTCTGCATCCCCCTCCCTCTCTGCTCCGTCGCAAGAGTCTGCATCATCTGCATCAGCAGGTGCTGAGCCTGGTGGCATGGACGGCCCTTCTGTGTCGGTCACCCCTTCAGCACTCCTGCTACCTCTGCAACGACTTGCGCTCTCGTCTGGGTGTATTGACGCCCCTTACTCAACCACCTCCCCCTCCTCTTCCCCCGCTGCCTCCTCATCCTCCTCCTCCTCTTCCGCTTCTTCTTCCTCTGTTGCAGCAGCAGCAGCAGCAGCAGCAGCAGCAGCAGCAGCAGCATCAGGCGCTGGAAGCGACGCTTCTGAAGCTTCAGGTCAATCCAGTCAATGCAGTCAACGGCCATCCTTGCCACCTCTTGAGAAGCAACCATCCGCTGGCCTGCTAGACACCACCTCACCCAACTCCCCTCTCCCACGCACCTCCTCCTCCCTCTCCTCCTCCTCCGCTGCCGCCTCCCCATGCTCCTCCGTTTCCTCAACTTCCTCCTCCTCTCGACAAGAACCCTCTTCCGCATCCACCGCCCCTCCTGCCTTCCAATCATCCACCACCGAAGCTGCTGCGCAGGCTCGGGAAGCCAGTGCTGCTTCTCTTTCCGAGCCTATGGCTCCTGCCGGACAGCTTGCAGCAGCCGTAGGAGCAGCAACTCTCCAAGAGGGTTCCACGTCGCCATTGCAAGGGCTAGGCAGGTCTTGCTCTCTCCCTGTCTCTTCCCACTCCCGCTCCTACAATGCCTCTCTCTCTCTCAAGGACCCGTACTTGGATTTTCTCTACTCGGGAGATCAGCCTTCCTCAGGTACAGCCTCCCCCGCTGCTCCCTCCTCACTCACATCTGCGGAGATTTCAGCTGCAGCGGCCGCACTGTCCCGGATGGGGATTTCGAGTGTTGCCGCGTCAGCACTCAGTAGCGGAGTGCTGGAGCAGCTTCAACAGCAGCAGCAGCAGCAGCAACAGAATCAGCTTCCTGGACTTCAGTTTGGTCTGTCTCACCGCCCTACTCCCATTCGAGTCCTGCTTGGGCTCGCAGAGACGACACGCGCAGCAGCTAAGGGGGAAGAAGCGGGAGCTGCTACTGCAGGGGTAGACGGAGCCGCTGCTGCGGGTGCGGGTGCGGTTGCTTCACCTAGTGCTGGTGCTGCTGGCTTGGCAGGGTTTCAGTTCCCGCAGAAGCAGCTGCAGCGGCAGCGCACGGCACCGAGTGCTGCCAACCAGTGGGTTCCGCGCATGAGCACGTTTCTGTCGCCCAGGCGCAGGCTCAGGCAGCAAGTCAGCCTGGAGCGCGGGAGCAGCCTGCTGGGTTTGGCGTCTGGGAAGAAGGGCGGTGCGGTGGGTAGTGGTGGTGCCGGGGATGTGGATTCTCCATCCACTTCTGCTTCTGCTGGTGGTAGCGGCTTGTCAGCTTCTGACGCTGATGCTCTGAGTGCTGCTGCTGCCGCTCTTGCAGATACTGCCGGGGCTGCGGGTGCTGTCAGCGCTGCTGAGGTGAATGGTGTTGACGAGCGCAGAGGTCAGGAGGAGGCGACTGCAGCTCCGGAGGGACCTCATGCGCAGGACAGGCTGCGTGATGCAAAGGCCTCTGAGGACAGAGGCCAGGAGCGGACTGCTGCTTTGGAGGGACCTTATCCCCCGGAGGGCGCTGTGAAGGCTTCTGAGCAGGAGGCGACTGTTGCTCTGGAGGGTCCTCATCCGCAGGACAGGCTGGGTGCTGCAAAGGCCTCTGAGCACAGCAGAGGGCAGGAGGCGAGTGCAGCTGTGGGGGGTCCTTATGCTGAGGACCGGCTACGAGACACGGAGAGGCAATTGCAGCTATTGCAGCAGCAGCTGCAGCTGTTGCAGGAGCGGGTGGAGGCTACTACTCAGGCGTCCGCCTCTGCCCGTGCGTTCCCTGTTGGCACACAGAGCGCACTCAGCAGCAGCATGGCAGCCACAAGCAGCGGTACAGCAGGCGCGCGCAGCACCATGGCACCTGCAAGCAGCAGGATCGGCGACGGCGCGAGCGGCGGCAGCATGGTGGCGGCGGCAGTGGTGGTGACAGCAGGTAGCAGCATGCTTCCGAGCCAAGAGAGCAGCGAGTTCAACTCGGAAGCGAGTGAGGGGGATTTGAGCTCCGTGGAGGAGTGGGAGGACGCACTGGAGGAGAGCCCCACTAGTGACTCCCTGGAGGCGCACCAGGCCGCGTGCGAGGTGACCTTTGAGCCGACTGAAAAGTCAGTCGCGCTGGTGGAGAGCCCCATTAGCGACTCACTTGACTTGCACCAGGCCGCTCGTGGCAGTGATGCGCTGGAGTCAATGGAAGAGAGCGGTGCAGAGCAGTTGAGTGAGCAAGTGAGTGTGCCTGTGAGTGTGCCAGTTAGTGTGCCGGTGATCGTGCCTGTGAGTGCTGCAGCTGTGAGTACACCGGTGAGTGCACCGGTGTGTGCACCGGTGAGTGCACCGGTGAGTGTGCTGGTGAGTGTGCCGGTTCTTTCAGAGCCGATCAGCAGTCCAGTGAGTGGCCCTCCTGTCACTTGTGCCTTGGCTTCTGAAGCAACCGCTGAGACGGCACTCAAATCGGCAACCTCGGAGCTGACTGTTAAAGCGCCATTTGAGGCGACCTCTGAGGCGCCTCAGAAGACGAAGCCGATCAGCAGGACGGGGAGTAGCCCTCCTGGGAGCGGCGGGCTGGCAGAGTTGCTAGAGGAGGGGGTAGAGGACGAGGAGGAGGAGGGCGAAGGAGCGGATCTGAGGAACGTGATTCGTGCTCACTCCAGCAAGTGGACGCGCCCGGATCCCTCCAGGCAGGCAGCGCTGCTGCAGTCTATTATGGTAGGGCGTCTGGGCCGAGGTGGGGCTGCCGTTGCTGCTGGTGCGGCTGGTGCTGCTGGCGCGGATGGTGCTGCTGGTGCTGCTGGTGCAGCTGGTGCTGGTGATGCTGGTGCTACTCCTGCTGATGCTGCTGCTGGTGCTGCTGTTGTTGCTGCTGGTGCTGGTGCTGGTGTTGGCCTTGGTTTGGTTGCAGCTGCCGCTGCTGCTCCTGCTAGTGGCAGTGCCGGTGCTACTGCTCTTTCTACTGCTGCTGCAAATCCCAAGCAGGCAGCTGCAGTTACCAAAGAGAGCACTGCTGTTACCAATGCTGCTGCTGCTTCTGCTATCGCTGCTGCTGCTGTTGCTGCCTCTGCCGCTGCTGCCTATACCACGACTAGTAGCAGTCCTCGTGTGGAGATGTCAGCAGCAGCAGGACAGCAACAGGTGCCCACAGGTGCAACTGATGCACCTGCTCGTGTCGTGCCTGCTAAAACTGCGCATGCTACAAGTACGCCTGTTTCAACTGCGCCCGTTACAGCTGTATCCGTTACAACCGCGCCTGTTACAACTGTGCCCGTTACAACTGCGCCTGTCACAACCGCTCCCATTTCAACTGCGCCTGTTACAACCGCTCCCGTTACAACTGCGCCTGTTACAACCGCTCCCATTACAACTGGGCCGGTTACAACTGCACATGTTACAACCACCCCCATTACAACTGCACCTGCTTCAACCGCACCCGTCACAATCGCACCTGCTTCAACTGCGCCTGCTCGTAGTGTGCCTGGTGCTTCCACACCACCTGCTTCAACTGCGCTTGCAGGCAGGATTGCCATACGGCGGGAGCTGTCCAATGTGATCTCTGAAGCCATTTCCCGCAGCAGCAGCAGCAGCGGCGTCACCACATATGAAGCGCCTCAAAACGATGCCGCACCCGCACCTATAGCAGGCAGGATTGCCATACGGCGGGAGCTGTCGAATGTGATCTCTGAAGCCATTTCCCGCAGCAGCAGCGGCGGCTCCTCCACCTTCTTTGCCGAGGCCAGCCGGCTTCGCCTGCAGCAACGCTTGTCCTCCTTGCATAGCTCTGCTTGGGAGCAGATCCGGCCTAAGGAGGCCGATGTTGTGGTTGATGGGTCTAGTAGTGAGGGGAGCGAGGAGGAGGAGGAAGAGGAAGAAGAGGAAGAGGTGGACGAGGAAGAGGTGGAGGAGGAGGAGGACGAGGAGGAGGTGGAGAGCAGGGAAAGCGAAAGTGAAGAGCAGGAGGTGACGTGCGATGAGGAAGAGGAGGACGAGGAGGAAGAGGAGGAAGAAAGGAGGGAGGAAGAGGAGGATACAGAGGAGGAAGAGGGCAGGAGAGCAGCGGAAGCCAGAAAGCAGTCTGGGTTACAGCACCCAAGTCGTACCACCCCTACCCGGCCAGTAACGGAGCGGTCCAACATGAGCACGCGTCGCTGCAGAGAAGAAGGACGAAGAGGGGAGGCATCCTCCAAGGGCGCTCTTCCTCTTCCTCTTCCCCCGGAGGAGGCAGAGGAGGTGCAGGAGGGAGTGGCGAACGTGGCAGCGATGCTGGCAGCGGTGGCAGGGCCGCTGGCGCAGATCAAAGCAGCGCTCCGAGACTCCGCCAACAGCCCGCTCAAGGCCGTGGCGGCTGCTCTGGAGCAGGACATGAAGAGGTTCTTGGAAGCCTCCATGGGCCTGGCCCCGGATTCCCCGCGTGGCTCTGCACAGTCAGCATCACCAACCCAATCACCAACCCTGTCACCAACCCCATCCCCGTCCCCGTCCCCATCCCCGTCCCGTTCTGTGTCCCATACCCCATCGCCATCCCCATCGCCGTCGGTGCCAGAGGCATCAGATGAGGATGATGATGATGAGGTGTCGGCCTCTTCTTCCCCTTCATCTGCGCTGCTGTCTCCTCCGTCTGGAGAGGATCGGCGTTTGGGTGGGAGGGGTGCTCACGGTGCTGGCGGGGTGATGGTGGCGGCAGGAGAAGGGAGCGAGGATGAAGAGGATGTTGCTGCTGCGGTGGTGGGGACGAGGTTTCGAGAGGAGGAAGACCGACAGGAGGATGTGGAGGAAACGGAGGAGGAAGAGGAGGAGGAGGTGGAAGAGGAGGAGGACGAAGAGGAGGAAGATGGGGAGGGGGGAGGAGAGGAGGAAGAAGGGAGTGAAGGGACACAGGAAGAGGATAGCAGGGAAGCAGAGCAGGTGCAACAGGAGGAGAGGAGAGCGGGTGATGCTGCTTCCTCGGCTTCTAACGCTGCTGCTGCTGCTGCTACGGCTACTGCTGCTGCTGCTGCTGTTGCTGCCTCTGCCGGATCTGGCCTGCTTCATACTGTGGGGGAGGATGCTCAAGCACCAGGCGAAAAGGCGATGGAGGGAGGGATGGGAGCAGGAGACATGGAGAAGGCAGGAAAGGGAAGTGAAGCGGAAGGAGCGGTGGAAAGCGAGAGGACACAGAAAGCATTGCTGGAAATTCCATCTCTGACCTCATCATCATCACCGCTTGCACTTCCTCTTTCACCTGTTGTTGCACCTGAGGTTTCACCTGCTGCGCCTGCAGCTACACCTGCCTCTGCACTGCCCGCTGCACCGTCGTCCCCATCGCCATCGTCATCGCCATCACGCCCATTCCTGCGCTCCTCTGTGCATCCGTCTCTGCGGTCTGGTGTGCGCATGAGCACTGTGTCGGCTAAAGTGCGGGCGTTTGAGGCGATGATCGCACTGCAGAAGCACGCTCACCAGCGCCAGCAGCTGCAGATGCTGCAGCGCGTGCTGGGATCCGTTTCTGGCTCTGCTGCACACGAGCTCGCCGCTGCCGCTTCTGCGGCAGGCGTGCCGGCACCAGCACCACCAGCGGCAGTAGCAGAACCAGCAGAACCTGCAGCACCAGCAGCACCAGAAGCGACAGAAGCAACAGACGCGCTGGCGGCATCAGAAGAAGCAGCAGCAGCGGTGGTTGAAGGTTCAATTTCGGCAGATGTTGCTGTGACTGTTGGTGATGGTGATGGTGTGGTGGGTGTGGTGCAAGCAGCAACAGCAGTAGCAGAAGAGGAGAAGAAGCAGGAGAAGGAGACAGCAGGCACTGTCGAGGAGCAGGAGAAGGAGACAGCAGGCACTGTCAAGGAGCAGGAGAAGGAGACAGCAGGCACTGTCGAGGAGCAGGAGAAGGAGACAGCAGGCACTGTCGAGGAGCAGAGGAGGAGGAAGAAGGAGATGCGGGCGTTCAAGTCGATGATTGCACTGCAGAAGCACGCTCACCAGCGACAGCAGCTGCAGATGCTGCAGCGGGTGTTGGGATCCGTCTCTGGCTCTGCTGCCAAGGAACTTGCTGCAGCTGCTGCGGCGGCGGGTGTGCCGGCACCAGTATTAGCAGCAGCAGCAGAAGCAGCAGCAGCACCAGAAGTAGTAGCAGCTGAAACTCCAGAGGTAGCGGCTGTTGCATCTACTGTTGGTGCTGATGCTGATGCTGATGCTGCCAGTGGTCTGGGTGCGATACAGGTGGGAGCTGGGCAAAGCGATTTGGATTCTACACAGCATGGCAGGGAGGGAGAAGGCAGCGTTGAGGAGCAGAGGAGGAGGAAGAAGGAACTACGGGCGTTTAAGTCCATGATTGCACTGCAGAAGCACGCTCACCAGCGACAGCAGCTACAGATGCTGCAGCGGGTGCTGGGATCTGTGTCTGGCTCTGCTGCTAAGGAACTTGCTGCAGCTGCTGCTGCAGCGGGGTTGCCTGCAGTAGCAGCAGCAGCAGCTTCAACAAGCAATGGTGCTGGTTCAGGGGGAGAAAGCAAGGGGAAGGCCGTGGTGGGGGGAAAGGAGGGCGAGGAGTTCCGAGGAGTAGAGGGGATTTTCAGTGCAGAGACGCGGGATCTTAGAGCTTCAGGGCTTCGATCAGGGGTTCGTTTGGGAGGAGTTGCGAGCGCACCAAGCAGTGGTCGTGGCGGGGCAGACGTGCTGACACTTGACGCTCAAGACGTGGATTCAGACGAGGATGACGGGGATAGAGACAGGGACGGGAAGCAAGAAGAAGAGCAGCAGCAGCAGCAGCAGCTCCCTGCAGCAGCCACTGCTCTCCTTCGCCCACAAGTGGAAATTTATGAGCCGTATGGACCTCTGGCTGCGCACATTAATTACAACGGGCTGTCCCTGGCGGAAGCAACACGCACCCTTGCCAAGCCCCTCTCTACCGCGCACCGCACCGCCCTGCACCACACTGCACCACACCTCAGCCCTCTCCCTCCGAACTCCCCTGCTGCTGCTGCTGCCTGGGTGACTGGCAGACTTGTTGGCATGCCCACCTCTCTCTCTACCTCCTCCTGCCAGCACCATTCTGGTGCAACTGTCACTGGTGCTCCTGGTGCATCCAACCTTGCTCCAGCTTCTTCTGCTGCAGCTCCTGCTGCTGCTGGTGCCTCCACCGTGGCTCATCGTGCGATAAGCGGGGAGGGCGGTAGACGGGGAGGAGGGCTGCGAGCGGGGGGAGCGGGAGCAGGAACAGGAGTAGGAGGAACAGGAGGAGGTAGTAGAGGAGCTCGCGACCTTGTCCGGCCATCCACAGCACCCCCTGCCACCGTCGGCATGGCGGCCGCTGCTGCCGTTTCCGCAGCCGTGGCAGCCGCAGCGGCAGTCGCCTCTGCCTCGCCTCTCTCTGCCGCATCCACCCCGTCTCCCTTCTCCCAAGCGGCACCCGCCACGCTCTTTGCCTCCGCCTCTCTCTCCTCTGCCATGGTGGAATCCGACGCGCTGCCGCCGTGCTTTGAGGAGGAGCAGGTGTGCCCGGTGACAGTCTTTACCGAGGCGCCGTCGCGGCCGCTAACACCGGAAGAGCCGTCTAGTAGTGCCCACCGGTTTTTCTTCCCTGCTGCGACTCCAGCTCCCTTCTCCTCCTCGCCCTCTGCGCCGGGAGATGCCAGCCTGCTGCTGCACTCCCCGTCCGCTCCTTTCCTGACAGCTGCTCCTACCGCCTTGGCACCTCATGCCGCTACTGCAGGAGCAGCAGCAGGAGCAGCAGTGCCAGCAGCAGGAGAAGGGCAGGCAGCAGTAGCCGCAGCGGCAGCAGCAGCAGCGGCGGCAGCAGCGGCAGCAGCAGGGATGAAGTCATCGGCAGGAGCATCACAGGAGGGACAGACTTCCCATCCGCCCCAGCTTGTCACGCCCTCTCATCCACCCTCTCATGCCCGTAGCCACCCGCACATCCGCTCCCACCCTCCTCACCACAGCGCTCCCCACCCTAGGCGCGCCCCCTCCCCCTCCCCCTGCGCCATCCCTGCAGGCTCAACCCCAATGAAGCACCCTCTTCTAGCCGTCTTCTCGTCCACCCCCCAGTCCCATTCCATCTTCTCCTTCTCCTCCCCGCCGCACCTGTCCTCCCTCACTCCCCCCGAACGCACCTCCTCCGGTCCCTCCCCGCTCCGCCCCCCTCTCGGCCCGTCGGCCGTTTCCGCCACCCCGTTCCTCCTGCCCGACCCAGCAACTTCTTCCGAGCTTCTCTCCTCTTCCTCCGAAGCATACCGGCTCGCCGTGCCGATTCACCCAAACCAGGTGGACGTTAAGGGGTATGAGGAGCAGCAGGTGTGCCCACTGTCCCGTGCCAACTCCGCCAATTTGGAGAGCCGACGGGAGGATGTGGAGAGTGTGAAGCAGGAGCTTATGGCTGCTGGGTTTGGGTCCGGGAGGGGGCTTGCTGCGCTGTATGCGAAGCAGAAGAGCTGGGGGTCGGGGCGTGGGTGGGAGATTGGGGAGAGCCGGTTGGGGAAAGCGCCGTCAAGATCGGAGAGGCGGAGAGGGGTTGAAGAAGGTGAAGAAGAGGAGGAATTGGAGGAGGAGGAGGAGGAGGAGGAGGAGGAGGAGGAGGAGGAGGAGGAGGAGGAGGAGGAGGAGGAGGAGGAGGAGGAGGAGGAGGAGGAGGAGGAGGAGGAGGAGGAGGAGGAGGAGGAGGAGACGGGGGAGGAACCTGCGAGGAAGGAAGGGGAAGAGGAAGATGAGGGAGTGGAGGAGGAAGGGAGGTATCACGTGCGTGTGGCAGGAGACAGGGAGGATGCTGAATCAGATGGGGACGTGGATGGGGATGAGGATGGAAGTGGGGATCGGGAGAGTAATGGTAATGAGGATGACAATGAAGAGGATGAGGAGGATGAAGAGGGTTCTGAGGCCGAAGGGGAGGAGGAGGAGGAGGAGGAGGAGGACAACGACGACGACAGGGACCGGCGCATGGGCAAGGGAGTGACAACTGGGGAGCATGCCACCGCAACGGCTGCTCGTGCCCATGCTCCCCCATGGTCCAGGCTCGCAGCACCTGCTGCTGCGCCCCTGGGGGTGTCGTCTCGGCGGCCTGCTGTGACGGTGAGCTGCAGTGGCGACATTCTCAAGGAGTCGCAGGAAGGCCGCGTGCCTTCCACTCCTGCATCCCCGCACACACCCGCTGCAACGGCAACTGCTGATGCCACCGCTGCTGCTTCTGCTGCTGCTGCTGCTGCTGCTGCCGCTGTTCCGGTTCCAGCGGACGCTGCCGTGCCGAAGCCACACCCAGCAGCTTCAGCGGCGAATGCACTGGCAGCAGCAGTAGTAGTGGCGGCGTCAACGACTGCTGCAGCAGCGGCAGCGTCTGTTTCAGTGTCAGCGGCAGCTGGAGTGACTGCAGAGGGGGGGGGTACCGGGGAGAAAAAGGCGCTGGTGACAGCCGGGAAGCAACTGCAGCAGCAAGGAGACGCGGACTGGCCGCCCCGATCTCTGTATAAACGCAAGGTGGCAGGCCGACCTATAACCCCTCCCCGGTCCATCCGAACCATGCTGCTAGGTTCGGCAGGCGCTGCGGAGCATGCTCCTCCTAAAATCACGGACTTTGTGCAGGTGATGAGGGAGGAGGAGGAAGAGGAGGGGAGAAGGGGTGTTGGCCGTGGTGGTAGGGCTGGTTTTATGGATGTGGAGGAGGAAGCAGCGGCTCTCGAGAGGGAGCTTGGAGAGATGATGGATAGGAGTGAGGATGAGGAGGATGAGGAAGAGGATGAGGAAGATGAGGAGGACGAGGAGGACGAGGAGGACGAGGACGAGGAGGAAGAGGAGGAAGGGGAGAAGCGGTCGGTCACGGGCCGTAGTGAAGAGGAAGTTGAAGAGAGCGAGGAGGAGGAAAGTGGTGATGAGGAAGAGGAAGATGAGGACGAGGAAGAGGAAGAGGAAGATAAGGTGGAGGAAGAAGAGGAGGAAGAAGCAGAGGAAGCAAAAGGAAAGGAGGTAGAAGATTCGGGGGCGGGGAAACAAGTCCGTGAACAGAATCAGGAGCAGAAGCAGGAGGAGAAGCAGGAGGAGAAGCAGAAGAAACCGGAGCAAAGCAAGGCGGCGAGCAGCAGCCAAAGCCGGTACATAACTCACGATGAGAGCGACGATGAGGACAGTGAGGACGGCGACTGGAGTGGAATGCAAGGAGCCAACATTGGCAGCAGCGCTAGTCTGCGCACTCGCCCCAGCGGCTCCGCCCACATGTCGTGCTCCATCCACGTACTCCCTATAGACGACTTCGTTATCCGCCACAGGCGCTGCCTGCAGCCGCAGTGCGGGCCGTACGGGACCTCATTCAGAGGCGGCTCACACTCAGCCCGCCTGCTGCCAACCCTCTCCATCACCCGGTCGGAAATTTCCGAGAGGGATTCAGTGGAGGGAGGGGATGGAGGAGGAGAAGGAGGAGCAGCGAGTAGAAGATCAGCAAGAATCCTAGAGACTTTAGACGAGGGTTCGGTGCAATGCACTGGGATCATGCACCAAGCTGGGCGGCTCGCTCCGGTTGTTTCTTGCCGGCCGTGCCGCCCGTTGTCGCCCATCTGGAGCCGCCCGTCGGGGCGGTTGAGCAAGGGCGGAGTGGGATCAGGCAGAGACGGATCGGGCCTGCTTGTGTCGGGTCTGGTTGGGGAGCAAGGGGAGGTGGTACAGCCGGTGCATGTGCGGACAGCGGAGTGGGTGGAAAGTGAGGATTTCAAAGTGCAGTGCTTCTCTCTCAAGAACTGCGCAGAGCCGCAACCCCGCTGCTTTGGGGGGTTGTGCCGGGTGGATGAGCGGCGAGAGTGGTACGACGAGGACGACGAGGATGAGGAGGATGATGAGGAGTGGGAAGGAAGGGGTCGGGAGGGGAAGGAGGGTGAAGTTGGGGAGGGTGGGGGGAGTGCTGCGCAGGAGTCACAGGCGCAGCACAGGAAGGAAGCCGGTGGTGACGATGCGACATCAGCGGCAGGGACACCCAAGGACCAGGAAGGTGGGAGTAAGGCGGGAACGCCCCGCGGGCAAAAGCGGACGTTGGAGCGGAATGGAGCAGAGGGAGAGGACGACGACGATGATGATCCGGTAAGCTACCCCGTTCTTCCCCGTCTTACTGTCAGCTACACCGGCTCGTGGGTTCTTTGCACTGAGATCTTGTTGCTGGTTCCGTTGGTGACCATTTTTTTGCTGTGTCTCGGCTTTTGATGTGCAGGAACCGGGTCGCTTGCTGCTTAGGAATCGGGGGGCTGCCAAGTTTGCTTGTTGCATCCGCCCTCGTGTTGTTGATTGACTCTAAATGAGCAATCTTATTTATTACTGTGTGTTGCTATTTAGTTCCAGTAGAATTGCTATATTAGCATGCTGTTTATTTCTTTGCTTCGGTTGATTTCGTCTAATATGACAACAGGGACATAAACTAGATAGATTTGAGGGTGCTTGACTTCTTTATTTGTAATTTATAGTCGCTTTTCATTGCTTCTTGCAGCAATTTGTCCTGCAAGAAAACTTACTGAATCCGTGACTCGTGTCTACCCTCTATGGCCTTGCTCTCTGATTTGGAAAACATATTCAAGAAAGAAAGCGTCATTAACAATAATATAATTACATATTGCATTTGGTGCCTGTTCTTGTTGTGGTTGCACTAAATTTCCATGTGGTGAATTCTTGTGGGGATCTGGGTTTGGAAGGACAAGTCAGCTTGAGATTCCGCATAATTTTCGGAAGCCAATTCACAACCAGGCACAGTTTTATCCAATTGGGCAATGCGCGCCGATTGTTGCACAGACAAAAGTGTTTATTCCATTTGCCTGCCTCACTGCCACCAGTGCCAGCGGAGCATAGAAACAAGCGCTTCTAGTTCAGTTCTTCGCGCGTCTTTGTTCCGCCCATGGCGCCGCGCTTAGCAAAGTTGACCAATGGGAGTGCGAAAAACTTGCCGCACGCGTTTCGCAAGTCAAAACTCAGCAAAACAAGAGGCACTTCACTTCCCAAATCATCCAGGGGATCACCAGCTCGTTTTCCTGGGTCCGCTGACCTGTCGCTCCTGTCAGCGCTGCAAAAGCTTCCGTAACCCGTGGAGACGGGGTACGGGATCTCACCATGAATGCTGACGGAAGTGGAGAAAACAAACGCAGAAGATGCTCAGCCTTGCTTGCGATTGCGACCTCCCACCCACCACCACCAGACTCTCGCCAAGCGCTCTTTGCAGCTGGATCACCAACCCCGTTCTGAACGTCCTTGGAGTTGTTTGCAGCTTATTTGGTATTCCGTATATTGTACAGTTGCGGAAATCATATAACGGTCATTACTCCTATTTGGATATTTCAGCCGGAAAATATAGGGCACACACAAACATGTACCCAAACCAGAGTCAAACATGCTGCGTCAAAAACGGGGGAAGGTCGGTCTGCGGTTTGCTTTCGGCCATTATCTCCGATACTCAGATTTCGCCTGAGCGTGTTCTCAGGTGTAATCAATCTGGACTTTCTCAACGTTTATTGGTCGTCGCTTTCTAGTCACATTTCTCACGCTGGTTGAACTCATTAGGAAGTGACAAAAACAAAACCATCTACTCTACCCTCCCGACCTGGATATATGTACGGAAATCAAGGTAGTAAGAGAATGAAGCCCATATAATTCACTTGATAGTGCTCAGTAGCGCAACCAACCGCTAAACAACGCTACCGAAAGCACTAGACGACGCTACTGAGACCTATTCGGGCATGGCAGAAAAAAATAAAACACCTAGGGAACCTGGATGCATTTTCGAGAGGGATCAATCCTAAACACGGAAATGAGCATTGTTTTTAGGGTTGATGCCTCCCGAGTCGCATCCCTTTCCGATGTGGGTATTATGTCAAGTGGGTTGCAATATGTTTTCCAAAATATTTGGAGGCTTTCGGTGTTTAGGGTTGATCCTTCCCGGAAAACATATAGGTTCGCTACGGGCATTAGATTTATTTTTTGCAAGTGCTAGACTTCCTTTTTTTGAGTGACTGTTTATAAACATGACACAGAATAGCTTCACACTATATCGAGAAACTGTGTTTCTGTTGGTTATTACACCTGAGAACGCTCTCAGGAAAAATCTGAGTATCCAAGATAATGGCCTTGAATGCTTCCAGCAGCGAGCGAAGGCCTCTCCCCTCGCTCAGGTTCTGCGCTGTCCCAATGCCCCGCGCGCCGTTTGTACAGTATCCTCCGATGCCACCCCTACCAACCACCCTCCCATACTGTAATGCATTTCTTCACAGCCGAGGAAACTCAAGACCAGCGAATCCATTCACTTACCAAACCAGACGTGTGTTCGGTTGGTTATACCTCACGATAGGCGTGGGTAGTTAGATCGAGAAAGCGCTTTGTCAACTTGGCTTCACACAGTCTGCCTGGTACTGTCTGGAATAGGCAACTACTAGCTGTCAAACTTCGCTTGGAGTCGTTGAAAATGCGACTTTAGCAGTCAAATAGCTTCGTCCGCCGTTCTTGTTTCCCTTGCGTCGGAACGGCATATGCGGGGATCGGAGTACTTGTAACTTATTCCTCCTTATCTCTATTACTGCGCCCTGCCGACGATCACTGTTAGCTCAAACCACCCTACTCTTAGGATCGGAAATTAACTTATTCTTAGGGTCGCCTCGCGGGCGTCTATTATTTATTTCAAGATCCGGGGTTTTCTTCGTCTCTCCAACCCTATCTCTCCTCATGGATCCTCTTAGTCCCCTTTCCACTAGAATTCCCGCTGCTGCTGCTCTTCCTTTGCTTCGAATCGTCTTTGCCAGTGGGGAGTCTCCACTGCTGTTGCTCCCCCGTTTCCACTCCCCTTCTGCCAACCCGCGTGCCTACTCCGCTCATCCCCTTCCACCATGCGATATTGACCGCTTAGCTGCGCCATATGCGCAGCAGCAAGCGCTGGATTGCGCGCAAGAGAGTCCGTGTTCAGATTCTGCCTCTGCGGTACCTGCGCTTACCGCGGGGACCGCATCGGGGAGGTGGGAGCTTCGTCAAGATGACCAGCCGCAGCAGCAGCAGCGGCAGCAACAACAACAGCCGAAGTTGCTGCAGTCATGTAATTCTTATGACTGCAACCCAGGCGACAGCTTGTTTTACGAGGGTTTGCGGGAAAACAGCGGCGGCGGCGGGACCTTGGGCAGTAAAAGCAGCAGTTCCAGCAAAGCGAGGCGAGTAGTGGGGAGACATGTCATATTAGCCGACACCATGAATCAGGACGCCGGAAAACGCGCGCTCGCTTATGGAACATCGCGGATGCGCCACGCGCTCGTTTATAGAAGCACTGGCGTTGTCGCAGCCGCTAGCAGCAGCACGATCGTTCTTCCCTTCGCCTCGCGCCCTGCAGCAGCAGCGGGGTTGATCGCGTCGTCAACTTCCGCAGCTGCTACCGCCGCCGCCAACGCCGTCAACGCCGCCTCCGTCGCCCTCCGGGTTTCCCGCGGCTTCTCCGCTCACGCTCAACCAGCGGTTGCGCAGGTCCGGTCGATGGAATCTCCGCTTATGAGCAGCGGAGCGGCCGTTACGGCCGTCAGCAGGGATGGCGGAGCGAGGTCGGCATTGGCAGCCGCCCCTGCCGCTTCCGCCTCCGCTAACCGCGGATCGCCCGCTGTTTCCGCTCCCGCCGGCTCCGCGGGGGGAGCGGCGGAGGTTGAGGTCGATCCGAACACGACGCTACCGGTGCCTGTGCAGACGGACAGTCTACCCGCAATGCCTGAAACGCGCCCCGTGATCGAAGACGTGCCGCACCTCGCGAACTGGATCCCCGATCTCCGGGTACGTTGAGGTTGTCATGCGCCTCGGAAAAAGGGGGAAAACAAAACAAATAAGTAAGCAAGCAAAGAAACCAAAAACAAAAAAGAAACTATGGATCCGTACGAATGCGTGCTCTGGGCAACGGTGGGGACGAAGTGAAGGGGTTCATGCTAGCAGTTTGGCGTTCGTTCCGTTTCCCCTGTCGTTCGTTCTCCCGTTCGTCTCGAATCTCTTCACAGCCCTTGAGATACGCACTGACCTTTCTTTTCTCGCTTTGTTTCTCCTGTCGCCCTCCCCCTACCCTCTTTCCCGCTCCTTCCTCCCTCTCCGCTTTGCCACGCCTCCCCTTCCCCACGCCTTCGCGGCTGTGCGCAGCTGTATCCAAGTCCGCTGCAGCGCAACCCCGCATACGCGCACGTGGAGTGAGTCCTTGCACCTTGCTGCCACAACCGTGCCGCTGCTCACTTAAATCCGTAGCTGTAGCCGTCTGCTGTAGCCGTCTCCTGTAACCGTCTCCTGTAACCGCCTCCTGTAACCGCCTCCTGTAACCGTCTTCTGTAGCCGTAGTTGTAGCCGTAGGGTGTTGCTGCCATTCCTCCGACCTCGAACCTCCTCGTCTCGTTTTTTTTCGTTCTCCTCGCGCGCTCACATTCCAAGATTCGTGCGCTGCCCCGTGCTCGCGTTTTCACGTTCGTGCGCGTGTCTGCCCGTGTCTGTCCGTGTCTGCCCGTGTCTGCCCGTGTTTGCGCGTGCGTGCGTGCGTGCGTGGGTCTGCGCGTGTTTGCGCGGGAGTGTCTGCTTGCATACGTGTGTGCGTGTGTGCGTGTGCGAGTGCGTTCATCAGGACGTTCTTCGTGGAGGAGGATCAGGTGGTGAGTCGCGAGGTCATCACATCCATCAACAACATCGGCACCGGCGTCTTCTTCCGCAAAGCTGGCCCCAGAGAAAAGGTCCGCCTGCCCCTCCGCCACTCCGCCCCTCCGTCTCTCCGCCGCCTTCCGCCCGCGCGTTTCTTCCTCCCCTTGCATTCCCTTCCCTTGTTCGTGTCGACCCCTCGTTTCTCCCCACTCCGTGCGTTTCTCCCCCTTGCATTCCTCCTTCGGGCATCCCTCCCCTCGCATCTTCACCCAGTCGCTCAGTCCCGTGCCATCCGCCCCCTCCCCACCTCCCGCCTGCGCGCCTCAGATCTCGTTTCATCTTAAACGAGGTCGCGTGCGTGCTACTTTGTGTCGAAGCGCATGCAAATCTATCCACTCTTTCCCGTCTCCGCCCTCACCGTTCCCCACCTCCCCGCCTCCCGCCTCCCGCATCCCGCCTTCCGCCTTCCGCCGCGCGGCAGATCGTGTTCCACCCGGACGAGGTGCGCGCGGCGATCGTGACGTGCGGCGGGCTGTGTCCGGGCATCAACACCGTCATCCGCGAGCTCGTGTGGGGGCTCTGGTTCCAGTACGGCGTGCGCGACATCCTCGGGATTGACGTGCGTCGCCTTGTCCTAGGGGAAGGGGGGGGCGGGAGGGAGAGAGGAATGGGGGTGCATTGCGGGTGCATGGGGATAAGAAGGTCGGTACGCTGTTGATGTGAACTCGTGTGGGGGCTCTGCCGCTCTGGTTCCAGTACGGCGTGCGCGACATCCTCGGGATTGACGTGCGTTGCCTTGTTTTCGGGGGGGGCGGAAGGGGGGGTGCATTGCGGGTACATGGGGAGAAGGGCAGGCAGGGGGAGTAGGAAAAGGGTGTGTGGATGAGATGGGAGTGCCGGGGAGGGCACATGGAATGGAAGTGGTGGCGTGGCGTGTGTAAACGAGTCTAGGCTTTTCTGCTTGCTCTATCTTTGGCGTTGCTGTGCCTGGTTTCTCACTCTGTCTCCTCCCCTTTCTCTATATCCCCCACCCTCTCTCCCGCTCCCCCTCGCTCCTCCTTGCTCCTCGCTCCCCCTACCTCCCCGGCGCTCCCCCTACCTTCGGCGCGCAGGGCGGGTACCGCGGGATCTACTCGCGCAACGTGGTATCGCTAAACCCCAAGGTGGTGAACGACATCCACAAGCGCGGTGGCACGTTCCTGGGCACGTCGCGCGGCGGGCACGAGGTGAACAAGATCGTCAACGCGCTCGAGGACCGCGGTATCAACCAGGTGAATGATCAGCGCGCGCGGGAGGGGAGGGGGAGGGGTAGGATGGGGGGGAAGAGGGGGGAGGGGCGCGGGGTGGGACGCGGGAGGGATCTGCGCGGATGGGGGGAATTTACGCATGGGAATCCGCAGGGAGTGGGGATTCACGGGCTAAGGGGACTGGGGAGGGGGTCGTGGGGTGGCGGGGTTGTGTTGAGGCAGTCTGTGGAGTTAGGATATGGATGGAATCCTGTGTTGGCGGGAAAGGCATGGAGGAGGGGCAATCGGGGAATTATTATTTGCGTCTTGACAGTATCCTAAGACGTGGGGGGGTTATTTTATTAAGGGGCTGTCTTGGGGCGCGTGACCGTGAGTAAGCAGCCTTGATGAGGCATGACGGTGAGAAAGGTGCGGGCAGAAGAGGAGATTTGAGGTGGATGGGTGGGAGAGTTGGAATCGTGATGATGAGGAGAAAGAAGGGGGTGCATGCCTGTGAAGCAGAGCGCTAAGGCGGGTGGGTGTCATGGCGGTGTGGCGTGGGGTGGTGTGGTGTGGTTTGGTGTGGTGTGGTGTCTTGTGCAAAGTTGGGTTCTTATCACAGATAGCATTACATGATATGGAGCGATGTTTCAAGTGCCTCTAACTTTGTGTGCGAGTGCCTGTGCTTGTGTGTGTGCGGGGTGGGTGTGGGTTGTGTGTGGGTGTGTGCTTGCAATTGTGCATATGGGGGGTGTGTTCATGGATGTATGTCTGTGTGCATGAGCATGAATCATGTTGGTGTTTTCATGTGTGCATGTGGTATGTGTGCATGGCAGATCTATGTGATTGGAGGGGACGGCACGCAAAGAGGCGCCGAGAAAATCCACGAGGTAACACGCCCCGCTCATACACACCCTCCCTTGAAGCACCTGCCTCGTAAACCCTAAACTGCTCAAGAACCACACACGCGATCTGTCAAAAACCCTGCCTATGAGAGGTTGTCGCGTACGCGCGTCCAGCTCCGCTGAAAACCCTGGCTCGATTTTCTCCCCTCCCCTCCTCCTTAATCTTCCCCACGTTTTCACAAACACTCACCCCACCCCACCTCCCTCGGTTGGTGTGTTGTTTTCCTTCTTGGGCCCTCCTCAACCCCGTCTCGACATCCTCGCCTTCCCCCTCCCCTTTTTCTCCGCTCTTCCTCTCTCCCACCCACCCTCCGTTTTCCCCCACTCTGTCTTCCTCCCGCCTCCGCCTCCCCCCCAACACCACAGGAGATAGCAGCGCGGGGGCTGAAGGTGACGGTGGCGGGAATACCCAAGACGATAGACAACGACCTGGCGCTGATTGACAAGTCGTTTGGGTTTGACACGGCCGTGGAGGAGGCCCAGCGCGCCATCAACGCCGCACACGTGGAGGCCAGCTCCGTGCACAACGGCGTGGGGCTCGTCAAGCTCATGGGCCGCTTCTGCGGTGAGGGGGGGTGGGGGGGCGAGGGGAGAGGGGACAGGGGGGAGGGGGGAGGGAGGAAGGGGGAAGGGGGACTGGAGAAGGGGGAGGGAGGGGGGGGGGGAGGGGGAAGAGGTGAGAGTGGGGAGGGGAGAGGGGAGAAGGGAGAGTGGGGAGGGGGAAGGGGGTGGGTGGGGTGGGAGGCAGGGAGTGGTGGTGTGGTCAGGGGGGCTCCTTTGGTGAGACAGGGTGATGGGGGAATTGGCACAACCACGTGGAGTTTGCCAAGCTCATGGGGTACTGTTGTGATGAGAAGGGAGTTTTGTATTAGGAGGGGGGAAGGGAAGGTGGAGATAGGGGGAGAGGAGGGGGGTGGGGTACTGTGATAAGGGGAGATTTCGGGGCAGGGAGAGTGGGGAGGGGGGTTTGGGTTCACGTGGCTTGTACGACTTTGCTGGCTTGTATGTGTGCTTTTGTTTACCCTTGCTGTGCCTGACTGTTCAATTGCTGTCCCCTGCTGTGACCTGCGTCCCTCCATCCACCACCCTCCACTTCCCATCAACTCATCTCATTCCTCATTGCACTCGTCATCCACTCCTCCTTCTCAATTGAGCACCATGTATGTGCCATGGACTTCATTGGACTTCATTGCACCCGTCATCCACTCCTCCTTTCCCATGCCTGTGCTGTGTGTGGGCAGGTCAAATCGCCATGCACGCAACACTAGCCAGCCGAGACGTGGTATGTGGCAAATCAACTCGAATCAAAACTGGTTTCAAAGACTGTGGAATTGAATCAGATCAAATCTCACCTCCTGTGCTGCACGTCTCAACCCCCTTCCTTCACTGCCCTGCCCCTAATCCACTGCACGGGACCCTTGAGACATCTCTCTTTCCACGGCCTATCTATCCCCGTCAGTTCACCCAAGGCGTCACAACTCAATCCCCACGTCCCATTGGCGTCTTTCCTGCCCCTCCCCCTCGCCTGCACCCCCCGCACCAACCCCACACCAACCACCCCCACCGCCCTTTCACCTGCTTCCGCCCCCCACAGGCCCTTGCCAGGACTGCTGCCCCATCCCCGATGTGCCCTTCCACCTATATGGAAATCGCTTTGGAGAATTCTCAAAAGCAATTTCCATAGATCTGCCCTCTGCCCTCTGCCTCAACCCCCACTGACTCTGCCCCACCAACCCCCCAACCGCTCCCCCACCGCCTCTACACGACCCCTCGTTTCCCCACCCCACTGCTTCCCCACAGGACTGCTGCCTCATCCCCGAGGTGCCGTTCCACCTGGAGGGCGACGGGGGGCTGTTTGAGTTCCTCAAGCGGCGCCTGCGGGAGAGCGGGCACGCCGTGCTAGTGGTGGCGGAGGGTGCGGGGCAAGACATCATGGCCGAGGCACTGGATCTCCAGCTCTCCCCTTCCGGCTCCTCCTCCTCCTCTCACTCCCCGTTCTCCTCGTCCTTTGCTGCGTCCGCTCCCTTCCCGTCGGCGTCCTCGCCAAGCGCGCACGCGGGAATGGGGGGCGGCGGGGGCGGGATGGGCATGGGCATGGGCATGGACGGGATGGGGGGAGGGGGGACGGCGGCTGTGACGGCGGCGGCAGTGGCGGCGGCTGCGGGGGGGATGGTGACGGCGGCGGGGGGGGCCAGGAGAGGGCTGACTGACGAGTCGGGGAATGCAAGGCTGATGGATATTGGGCTCTGGCTGTCCCAGCAGATCAAGGTGAGAGGGAGGGGGAAGGGGGGGTGAGGTGATGAGGCCTCATTTCACGCATTTTCGTATCTGTGCACCTTGCATTCTCGCTCCATCTTCCAACAATGTGCTCTTTTCTCTGTTTGGTTTTGTCTTCTTGGTTGGGTGATTGGTTGGGTGATTGGTTGGGTGATTGGTTGGGTGATCGGTTGGGTGCATGGGTGGGTGCATGGGTGGGTGCATGGGTGGGTGCATGGGTGGGTGCATGGGTGGGTGCATGGGTGGGTGCATGGGTGGTTGGATGACCCCTCATCCCATGCAGGCGCACTTTGCCAAGTCTCGCATTGAGCTCAACCTCAAGTACATTGGTGCGTGCATCGTGCCTCTGCCACATCCCACATGCATGCACATGTTTCAAATTGCCTCGAATGATCCGTTTTCACACATAATAGATGCATACACACACACACACACACACACGCACGCAGGCACATACACTCGAGTCGCTTTCATCAACATATCTTGTGCCCATGCCGGTATTCATCGCCCTCCAAATCCCTGTATGGAGTTGCCTCATGCTGTGCTTGTTTCAGCCGCATGTCAAACTGAATCCATCCATCCATCCATCGATCCATCCATCCATCCATCCATCCATCGATCCATCCATCCATCCATCCATCCATCCATCCATCCATCCATCCATCCATCCATCCATCCATCCATCCATCCATCCATCCATCCATCCATCCATCCATCCATCCATCCATCCATCCATCCATCCATCCATCCATCCATCCATCCATCCATCCATCCATCCATCCATCCATCCATCCATCTCCATCTGTCTCCCTCCCTCCGCCCGCCTTTGCTTCCCCTTCTCCAACCCCCTGTCCACAAAGACATCATTCTGAGTCACTTCCTGCCCATGGTCTCCATGGTCCACAAAGACATCTCCCCCGCATTCTCCCCATCTCCTCCTCCCCGCCCTCTCCCCTGCTCCCCTCGCTCCCCGCCGGCTGTGCACCAGACCCCACGTACATGATTCGAGCAGTGCCGGCGAATGCGAGTGACAACATCTACTGCACGCTTCTGGCACACAGCGCCATCCACGGCGCCATGGCGGGCTTCACTGGCTTCACCGTCGGCCCCATCAACGGCCGCCACGCCTACATCCCCATCAAGGTACGCCTGCTGCTGCCGCTGCTGCCGCTGCTGCTGCTGCCGCTGCTGCTGCTGCTGCTGCTGCTGCTGCTGCTGCCGCCGTTGCTGCTGCTGCTGCTGCTGCTGCTGCTGCTGCTGCTGCTGCTGCCGCCGCCGCCGCCGCCGCCGCCGCCGCCGCCGCCACCGCCGCCGCCGCCGCCGCCGCCGCTGCTGCTGCTGCTGCTGCTGCTGCTGCTGCTGCTGCTGCTTATGACGTTTCTGCTGCTACTGGAAAATGGGCTGTTGGTGTTGGTGTTTTGTCTGCAAGCTTGCCCCTTTGGTCCCTCCATCTTCAGCCTTACCTTGTGTTGCTCCGCTGCCCCTGCCTCCGTTCCCGCCCTCGCCCCTGCCCCCGCCCCCGCCCCCGCCCCCGCCCTTGTCCTCATGTCCTCCTGCCCTCCTGCCCTCCTTCCCTACTTCCGCTTTCCCATCCCCCAGTGTGTGTCTGAGAAGAGCAACACAGTGTCTTTAACAGACCGCATGTGGGCGCGGCTGCTGTCGTCCACGAGCCAGCCCACGTTCCTGCGCTACGACGACCACCACCTTCACCACCAGCAGCGCCTGCTGCAGGCGCAGCAGGAGCACCGCCAGGCGCTGCGCGAGCGCGAGGGCGACGAGGAGGGGCGCCTGCTGGGACCGAGTCGGCGGGATCAGATCAGCGAAATGGACGGCAGCCGGGGCATGGGCGGGGGTGGGGGGTGGGGAGGAAGATGAGGGTGAGCGGGCTGCCGTCAGGAAGACATGGGATGGGGAGGGGAAGAGGGAGGGGAGGTTAGGGGAAGGAGGGAGGAGGGAGAGGAAGGGGGTTGGGGGGAGGTTGGGGGGTGTTTGAGGTGGTGGATGAGATGGGAGGTAGCTGGTTGTGATGGGATGTGTGTGGGCCATGGCTTGTGGATGTGGATAGGTCCCTCCCAGCTCAGCTTGTGCTGTGCACCGCCATGGTTTCTCCGTACAGTTGTTGTCTGTGCTTGTGCTCTTGCAGGCTTCTGGGCTTGCCTATTTATGTGGTGCTGCCACCAGTCCCAGTGTTGTCAGTTGCAAGGTGGAAAAACTCTTATCTCATTCTATCCACTGGAGTGCGCTGCTGGGGGTATTTCTCTGTGGAACTACACTGGTTGCGAGATTATACTGCTCGGTAACCTGACAACTCCCCGAAAGAGGGAGTGGCAATGGAGGGAGAATCGGAGAACACGGTTTAGTCAAAGCAGTGCATGGTATATACGGTAGTGGTGTCCAAAGGTGGTGGGTGGGAGCAAGCTGTGGTCGAAAGTATGGGTTGGGGTTACTGGGAAGTGGTGGAATAGATTGGGTCAGAGAGGGTTGCTTGCTGCTGGCTGGTCTATGTGGACTTGTAATTAGATATTTCTAAGTGGATATGGTACCGGTATATGGCATTTCAGTTATAGCTTGCTGTCAGGATATTCTTTCTGTTTTCTTGTCATCTCACTGGCTCCACTATGTGTGGAAGCTGTTCCTGGTGATTTTTTTCAACTTGCATAACTTATCTTCCCTCGCATTCCCCCGGTCTAAACCCTGCTTCGCCATTACTGAACAGACTTGACGCTAAGCGCTGGAGTGCTGTGCTGTTACATGCATCTTTCTTATCATTTATAGGTAATCAATGTCTGTTCATGCATGCTTGCCTAGTATTGCACTGCTTTTCTCCCCTTGCATGTAGTTCATACGGTAGTACCCAAATTACAAGCATATCAATCCATCTTTACCATTATACAAACGTGTATGATTCCTTTTCCTTCCTTAGCGTCCCCGCTCAACGCGTACACCACTGTAGCACCACAGTCAGCACCGTTACCACTCCCAACTCTCGCATCGACAATCCTCCCGCCACCTTCGCACGTCGCACCCCGACCTCACGGCTCGACGCGTAACCCGAGCTCCGGGCCTCCGCTTCCACACTTTTCCCAACCTCAGTCCCAGGCCCGTCACACGACAACCACAGTCCATTACCGTTACCACTGTAGTTTCGATATATCCTTCGCTCATGCCTTCGCTCATTGTTCTTTTGCTTCGATAGTGCAATTCTCGCTCGCTCACTCAATTGCACTCGTAACACTTGGTATCAGAGCCTACGATCCCTTCTCGGACCGCACCCACACCTTCGCTTCCTCAACTATCTCAATTTTTTGGGGGGGGTAGACGTCTCTCAGCGATACAGCACCGCCGCTCGTAGTGCTCTCTCGTAAGCACGCACGGCCACGACCGAGGCTCTCGCTGAGCTCGCCCGACACCCCCGCCATGGCCGAATTCACGCTCGCAACATTGACGCAAGAGCAGCTCGACCGTCTGGTGTGCCAACTTGAAGATTCGGCGCTCGAAATTGCGACGCTCGCGGCGGATCGTGACTCCGCACGTCAGCAATCAACGGTGAACACTCCAGCGCCACCACACGCACCGACAAATGCATCTGCACAATCGGACGGGCCGATCGTCATCTCGTCCGGCACACCAACACAAAACAACAGCGTGGGACAGCGCCCAGGCGCAGCCAGTGATGGCGCCGCCCAGCCGATGCCTGGCATGGGAGGAAACAGGGTCGCACCAAGCCCGCGGGAGCCTCGCGAAGCCCGTCGGCACGTGGGGTTCGCGGCGACAAGTGGCGAACAGACCATTATGGCACCAATGCCACTCAAGCCGCAACGCCCGCCCTGCTTCGACCCGAGCCAGCGTGGAGGTCCGACGGTTCAATCGTGGGTCTTCACGATAAACATCTTCTTCGACGCGAACTAGGTCGAGTCGGACGCAGCGAAGATTCGGAATGCCGTTTCGCTGCTGAGGGGCCCCGCCATGGACTGGTGGCGAGTCATCGTGACGTCGCCACGCGCCTACGAGCCACCGTCGCAAGAGGAAGGGCCCACGGGTCCAGCTGTCACCTGGAGTTCATTCTGCGAGACCGCCCAGTACAGCACGTGGGATGCGTGGTGCGCAGGGCTTCGGGCGCGCTTCGAGCCAATCGAGGCTTCTATATCAACGCGTCAGAGACTGCGTACTTGGCGACAACTCGGATCGGTTCAAGACTACACGAGTGGTTTTCTCGCATTATGCGAGCAAGTCGGCTACATGCACGAAGCAGAGCGGGTGGACCGTTACGTCGGAGGGCTGAAGCCGGACATCGCGCACGAGATTATGCTACGCGGGCTCTCGAACTTCAACGAGATTCTCGCGCTCGCCGAGAAAATCGACATTTTACGCCGTCCGAGACCGGGGTCCTACTACGGACATCGCCCTCGGGGACCGATCGAGCACGCCACCGTACATGTCATTGCGACGAATGCAGCTGCCGCGCCGTTTAAGGGGCGCTGCTTTGCTTGCAATAGGCCGGGCTATCGCAAGAGTGAATGCCCAGAGGAGCTAAGGCGCCGCGGAGCAGAGCAGGGGAGGGAGTCTCCAAGGCAGGGAAACGCCAGCAGTCAGTAGGAATCGGGCCAACTACTGACGAGACTGCCTGCTCGCCCAACCCCACCGACCCTCACCGAGTCACAGTACCGATTCATGCTATCGATCGGACTCGGACGAATAAGGAGGGTACAGCGACGAATTGCCCAGTACTGATCCACGGGAAAATACAGGGAGCAGCAGTGAAGATTTTTATCGACGGAGGAGCAAGATACAGTTAAGTTAATACCGCAACCGCACGAAAACTGCAACTGACACTTAGCCGTTGTTTACTTGAGATAGACGCACGCTTAGTCGACGGCACGCCACTAGCCATACGGGAAAAAGTGGAGAGAGTCAAAATCCGCTGCGGGGGAAATTTCGGATCTACACAGGAAATGCTCGCAACGACACTAGATGGGCACGACATTTTACTGGGACGTGATTGGGTGCGAAGGTATAACCCGCGAATCGACTGGACGACGGGTAGCTGCACTGTGCGAAGTAGCGGTAACTGGGTCGAGCTACCTCGCTGGCAGTCGCCCGAGTCTTCAACGGTACACGTCAATGCCGTCACCATGAAACGGGCTGTCGCTGCTGGAGCTGACGTGTACACAGTAGACATTGCAGTAGTGGAGGGAGCAGAGCAGCCGAGTGATTTCAAGAAACTGCTGGCAGCGGTACCACCCGAACTACAAGAACTGTTGAAGCGATACCTCGGGATTTTTCCCGACGACTTACCGGAAGGACTGCCACCTCTGTCAGAATCCCAACCACTAGACCATTGGGATAAAAGGGCTTGTTTCAGTAGCGGGTCAGTGCGCCCATAACCCCCCAGGCGAACGCGCCTGTAACCCTCTCCAGGATCAATCGAGCATCCACAGTGCAGATCTGCTGACACCCCCCCACACTGGGAGGCCCAAGACTAAGCACAGCGGCAACGGCCTACATGTGCATACACCGGGAATCGAACCCGAGACCACTCTGATACCATGTCAGAATCCCAACCACTAGACCATTGGGATAAAAGGGCTTGTTTCAGTAGCGGGTCAGTGCGCCCATAACCCCCCAGGCGAACGCGCCTGTAACCCTCTCCAGGATCAATCGGGCATCCACAGTGCAGATCTACTGACAACCTCAGCGAGCACATGACCACCGAATAGAATTAGAACCGGGGGCACAGCCAACTGTACAGCGCCAGTTTAGACTGACACAGCCCGAGCTCGACAAACTAAGGAAGCAGTTGGATTACCTGTTAGAGAAGAAATTCATTCGACCGAGCTCGTCACCGTTCGCCGCACCGATACTGTTCACGCCAAATAAAGACGGAGGGTTTTGCATGTGCATCGATTACCGAGCGCTCAACAGGGTAACAGTCAAGTCGCGGTACCCCATTCCCCGCGCCGACAAACTGATCGACCAACTGCGAACAGCATGGGGTTTTTCGAAAATAGATTTACGGGGAGGTTACCATCAGATTAGGGTCGAACCATTGGACTGCGCCAAAACAGCTTTCCGGACTAGGTACGGGTCATTCGAGTACACCGTGATGTCTTTTGGGCTGACAAACGCATCAGCGACATTTCAGATGACCATGAACGAGGCGTTTAGGCCGCTTTTAGATAAATGCGTGATAGTTTACCTCGACAACATCCTCGTCTACAGTCGCAACAAGCAGCAGCACTTAGCAGATCTGGAAGCAGTATTTAAGATTTTAGACGAGCACCGGCTACTGACAAAGGGTTCCAAGTGCGAGTTTTTTCAGGACAGGCTAGAGTTTTTGACCCAAAGAAGCTAGACACGGTAAAAGCCTGGCACCCCCCGACGAATATCACGGAACTACAGAGTTTTTTGGGTTTCGTAAACTACGTATGTCGGTTCGTCCCCGACATGGCACAACTAACTGCGCCGCTGACGAATTTGTTACGGAAGGGGGTCACTTTTACGTGGGGGGGAGAAAGAGCATGCTGCCTTCTCTGCCCTGAAAAATGTTCTCTGTTCATCGCCCGTCCTACGCATCGCCGACCCACACCGTCCGTTCGAAGTAGTTTCTGACGCAAACGACATTGCCATCGGAGCCGTACTGCTACAGGACTTCGGCAACGGCCTACAGCCCATCGCATATGAGTCACGAAAACTGCATCCGCCCGAGAAAAATTACCCGATACACGACCGCGAAATGCTTGCGATCGTGCACGCGTACAAATTGTGGCGCTGTTACTTGACCGGCGCAGACGTGACAGTATGGGCATACCATAAATCACTACAGTACCTTCGTGCACAGCCACACCTCAACCCACGACATATCCGCTGGCTCGATT